AAGAAAATGTATCAAACATACCTTTTGGTATTGTATTTATTATTTATTGTTGGTTTAGTTGTCGGTTATATAATTAACTAAGAATCTGGTGAAACAAGACATGCCTTTTGGAGATAATAAAGATATCTTTATTATATACCGTCGTTAAGTCGTACAGTGGCATGCCTTGGCCTTATTAATATAAATAATCCACGCCAGACACGCCCACATTTGTTGTGTTAGCACCACCGGTCACGTGCCGCCCCCCGGGGGGGGCCACCCCACCCGGCGCCCCCCGCGGCCTCTGCCTCCTTCGCGCTCACCGCTCGCGTCGTCCTGGTTGGCCTCGGCCAGGTGACACCCTGTTTCAATCTCATGTTCCAATCCTCACACTCCGTCCATACCTTTCCGCCCGAAACACCCTTTTAATTATTGCTCCTTTTGTAAACACACGAGTGCCCTGATCATACCGCTGACGTCGGTCCGCCTCCTGTCAATTAAGTTTAATAGATGTGTTTAATGATACTGTTTTACTTAACCAACGCTCGGTGTCCTTTCAGCAACCCCACCAGAAGTACCTGACCGAGATACACAAGAAAAGTAGAGTTTCTGAAAGGCTTCTAGAGAGCCGACTAGAAAACTGTCAGTGTAAATTACTCAATACTCATATACTCCTACTATCACTCAACAAGTCTCCTGTAGACTAGTTAACTGTCTTTAATGTGTGGGAGTAAAGACACTGTCCGCTCTCAGTGACGACGTGGCTAACAACAACAACAGTCATGCTCTGTTCAGCTGATGAAGGTCAGATAAAAACCGCGCCGCGCGCAGAGACTCGCTCCGGGTTCGCCTCCTCTCACCTTCTCTAGTCTCCATTCGGTTTCTCCTCGTTTCTCCGACGCTATGGACTCACAGCGGGACAATAATCGGATGAAATTGATTTCCAGTCGAGAAGCCATGTTTGAAGCTTGACACACCGTCGCAGCAGTGTGACGTCAGACGGATCGGCGCGGACGTGGGCGGAGCTTCGGAGAAAGCTGTGACATCACAATTTATTGATCATTATAGCCGCGTTTAACCTTTATTAAGCCTATGATGTAACCTTTAAATGAGATTCATAATGCTGTTTGTATATATGAGAATGTAGGTTACACCACCGAACTCTTTATGGTTAACATTTATGCTCAATAATAATAATTTAACTTTAAATGGGTTTTTCAAAAGACACTTGTATTGTATTGTTTGGTCGTGTTGTTTGTATCAGTCATCTAGTTGAGAAATGTTTTAAATAATATCAGTTAATCTGATAAAATAAAGGGGCCTGACAGAGAATATTTATCAAATTGACATTGATGAAGATTAAATCCAGAAGGAGGCAGTAATGCAATGTGAAGGACGCCAGCTGCATCAAACTCAGACAGCACTTATGAGCTTCCTGTCCTCCTCCAGGCTCTTTATTGGGCCTATTTTTATCTTTCACCTCTGCCCTCAAGTGAACCCCGCTGACGGGCTTTCAACCACTTCCCACCGTCTTCTTCAGCAAATGCAGTTTGGAACAACACTGAAAACACCTGAACTGGGGTCCTATTCTTCCATTATTCACCACCACATTGTAAACTGTATAATGAAGTGATATCTGGGTATGATATTCCACAGTTATTAATAGTGTATACTGTATGCAGCTTGCTTTATTCATTACTTATCACTGTTATGTGTACACTATTAGTAGGTGAGGTGTTTCTTTTATTTCTTTATTTCCTTTGGAGGTAATCGTTGTACTGAATGAGAACTATGTGGAACACACGCAGCTGATTTAAATAATTTCCCCTAATTAGACCTTTAATTAGGAGTGTTTGTGATTGACAGCTCTCTTTTATATGAGCTTTGTTGCACCTTTCTCATTATCAGTGTGTGGAGTTACCTTAATTAATTCATAATTCCACTACTTTAAATCTTAGCTGAAGTCAATGAAAACACGTTTGGATGCAGGGCTGTTAAATGAAGAGTATTAAAGATATCTGGCTGTGAGAAATCAACAATTGAAAGAACATACCTGAACTGATCGTTTCAGCTGTTAAAGAGCAGATTAAATTTTATCTCAATTACAAAAATGTGAAGGAGATTACCTCAGATAGAGAAGAAAAGAGTGTGTGGTATATCAGTGTAGCATTACGTAAATTCACCGTCTGCTTGGATAATAGGAATTTAAATAATGTAAACCGCAATTTGAGTATCTGGCAAATAAGAATATGAGAAACATCCCTCGTCATTTGGATATCAGTGAATAGTCGGCAGGTCAGGATCAGAGTGAACAAACAATACAACCTGAGTTAGAGCCGAAAACAACTAATTCTTACATCAGAGCGTACCTGTTGTTCCTGAAGATTGGCGCCATCTCCTGTGCTTCCCCAAATGTATTTCCATGTTAAAGGATCCTTTATTTCCCCCCCTGAGCTTTGTAGAGACCGTTTGCTTTGCCTTGTTTATTCTCCACCGGGTTGTAGTAAAATCAAAAACATTTTAAAGAAGTTAATCCAAGTTAGTGTACAATTTTAAATGTCTTGTATTGAGCTCATCAAAGACAACGTGGTTCAGTCATGTGATTTTGTAAAAGCTGAGCATCACTTTCAGACTTGATGGTTTAAAAGATTCACTGGGAACAGCCAATGTTTTAATTCAAACAGCAAAACCTACATTTAGGCCAGATGTAATACAACAATATCCCTATTTTTTATATGGGAAACTTTTGCCAAGACTTTCGTCCTGGGATTATTTCTTTTTGAAGTTGTAGTTACATTCAGGTGCTGCCCCTTCTGTGTAAATATTACATTTAATACAAATATTATTAATTCATAGGACGAGAATTCATCTTTTATATAATTTGTGACTGTCACCGACTACGTTCATAAAGAGCATCTGTTAACCCTTGTTGGAAAAGACTAATTTATGAAGAATTTATATACTTAAATAAAAGTACATAACTCTTCTTCTTCATAGTTCTTCATCACACACTGTTTTAAAAGGTGTTTTCATAACACTGAGACACTTTTTGACTGAACCTGATCAAAGCACACAGCAGCAGACATTACAAGCATCATGTTCTGTATTGTCATGTTAATACTAATAACCATTACAGTTCACGTCATTCAGTCCCAACCATACACTCTCTGTTACACGTTACACATCAGGACATTGTCCTCATTATCCAGACAAACTAACAGACATCATTCAACAGCAGTCAGAGAGGAACATTAATGTTACATTTCATACGAGGTTGGCCAAAGCTGTGCTTCAGCAGAACCTGCTCATTATAGGACTGTTTGATTTGAATGGCAGGTACAGTACAGCTGAGAGAAGCCATCATTTTAGAAAAGGGTAAGGTGAGTTCAAGGACTTGGGGCTTTAAAGACATCGTGGCACGGCTGTTGCATGTTTTTGTTGTTTCAAAAGGAAAAAGTGGCGTGTGCTGCTCCTGTTTCCCTTTGCTATGTGAGGCAATGACTTCCTATCTGGGGGTTCGTTGTGCGGTAGGTGGAGGGTAAAGATGAACAGACGCCGTTGTCCATTGCAGCTGTTGTAATGAGGCAGCTGTTGTAATGAGGCACCTGTGCAACGGTCACAACGGGCATGTTTACTGTAGGTTCTTGTTTCAAACACCGTCTTGTGTCGGAGACAAAAGGTACCCTCTCTTTATAACCCTTCCTCTCTCTACGAGCACTGTCCATAACATAACATGAGAAATGAACTTACTGTACATTACCAAGGCACTAGCTAACATTTCAGTGAGCATATTTTGCTCATCAGGAGAACTAAGAAATGAAAAGTGCGGCTGGATCCTGTAATATTTTCTTGAATTAGCACAACAACAAAAAAAGAGAGAAAAAGAAAACAGATGTGCTGGTCCATCATTATGAGTCTACAGAAAAAACGGCTGTCCCGACTGAACTCATCAACAGAAACCATAATATATATTAAAATGGTAGAAAAGGTGCTTGGCAACATTGTGTCCAGTTATTTTTACTGTCATAAAGGACAACAAGCCTTTAAACACATTTGCAGTTCCTTGTTTGGTTCCCACTAACAACAGCAACTGGAACAGCCTCCATTTTGTGTCACTCCTGTTCAACTTTGTAGATCCGCTGTAGATACTCATCACTTGTTTTCATTCACATGCACGTTATGTTCTTCTACTGTGATTCTTGATTGTTATCCTCTCCTAGTTCTCTACAATCCATCATTGTCATCTGTGGCAACTCGGTCTGTCATTTATATTCATTTCCTTTTGTTTACTCGGAGGTTGTTGCCCACAATCCTCTTCACTACCTTTTCTGTTGCGTCCTGGTCAGACGTCATCATCCATATAAGGTATGTCTGGGTCAGAAAAACGTCTCTGGCCCTTTGAGGCTTGTGTGTCGTGGGGCTGGTGCTGAGGGGAGGGTGTTACCATGGAGATTGAGGTGGAGGAGGAGGAAGCGGAGGGAGGGCAGGAGGAAAAATGCAACAAAAGGTCACAGTCTTGGCCGTCGATGTAGAGGGACTGAGTGCTGTCCTTACGGCGGCCGGGCTGCTCTCTTCTCCTGACCAAGTACTTTAATGCTCTATTTCCAGGAGGGGTATAAGCCTGAGCTGGACCGGAGGCTGCAGACTGGGAGAGGACGCCTGGGGGGAGTTTAACTGTGTCTGGGATGACAGGGTTGCGGCGTTGCAGCAGATGCCTGAAGGAGGATTCAGAGGTTGAAGAAGTGCAGCTGAACACAGAGGAGGTGGAGCTAGCAGGGGTGAGGTTTGACAGAGAGACACGTCCACCAGGGACTTTAGGTCGCTGGGCCAGGTCTGGTGGTTTGGGTGGACACATCGGCCTGCATCTCCTCAGCTGGGCGCCACCACCTCGTCCTGGAAGAGAGAGAGGAAAGAGGAGGATTTGAGAAAGACGAAGATAAACGTGCCTTCTGCAAAGCTACTTGTTAAATTCACACAACACTCAGAGAACAATGGAAGATCATGCAACCATGTTATCTACCCCAAATTATGTTCAGTACGGGACGATTAGGCATTTGATTCGACATGTTGTGCCAAATGTCCAATTCATTCATTAATTCATTTGGATAAAGTTGGAGCATGCTTCTGTGCCACACATGCATTTGAACATGCATACATGGGTGTGCAGACGAATACACACACACACACAAACACACAAACACGGTTGCTGTTCCTCCAACCTGCTTCGTTACAGAGCAGACGTCACCGCCCGTCACCATCACTGGTCCAGACCTGCACCACAAAAGACAGGAAGGGCCATACGCAGCGGCCCCGTGGTCTCGTCAGAAACCCAAAGGTGAGTGAGAGAAACAGAAGGAAGGAAAGGCCAGACTGTACCTTAATACTGACCTTCAGGCTCTGAGCCGTGAACAGAAGAGCGCTGCTGCTCGTCCAAAAGACTCTCGGAGCTCAGCGAGGCTTCGGAGTCCAAGTTCTCCTGGTCTGAACCAGGCTGCTCCATCTCTGGCAGTCGGCAGGCCAGATCCTCTCTGCAGAGAAACAGACGACAAGGGCATCAGAGGAATGAGATACTAGAGACAGACGCTACACTAATATGAACAGAAACAGTAATAATAATAATAATAATAATAATAATAATAATAATAATACAGAAAGCTTCCTTACTTCTCCTGTTTGATGGACTTGATGCGTTCCATCAAGTTCTTCTCAGCCTCTGTGTCTGAGTCCAGAGGCTCGTTCTCAGGGACCACGCTCAGATCAGAACTGACCTTCTCATGCACCTGCAGAAGACAGAATATCACACACTGACACCTCAACCTTTTTTTCATATAGTAATTACACAGTGAACATGTATGGCCACTACACACAGCTTTAACCCAAATCTGAAACTGATTCCAGATTCTGTTAGTAAGGAAAAGAGAAGAAGCTCGATGGTTCATGCATCTGCACATTATTCCTGCAGCACTTCCGTGAAACGTTGTAATTTATAGGCAGTGGGGGAAAAAAATGCTGTGATACCAAAGAGGCTAGTAAACACATTAACATCCACCCATTCAAAACAATACTGGGGCGAGGGGTTTACATATGCAGCTAGGACAAAAGTTAAAAAGACACATCACCACAATCCAGAAACATCCAACAATTAAACAAACATGACTTTCAGAGATTTGTGGTCTTTCCATAAGAAAATTGAATAATATAAGGAAACATCAGAATAACCCAAAAGAAAAAATGCATGATAACCATCAAGCTTTGCAAGTCACGCTATTGTCAGGCTGAAGTCTTCCAATAAGACAACAACAAAAGTATTATTACGACACCCAGAACCATCTTGTCCTCTCGTAAAGAGAACAAGAATAATGGCAAACAGCAACATGCACACTTCTACCTGTTAGTAAGAGTAAAAGGGATCATGGGGAAAAAGGATTAAAAAAAAAAAAAAAAACACAGCCAGAGCGCCACCCACATCTAACATGCCATGCACAGGCGCTTCTACATGGCACCCTACTACACACTACGACTACTAGATCTACTGTACTGGGAGAACTCAGTGATACATACCACCACTCCTTTGTAAGGAGCTGAGAACCTGAGAGGTAAATGCCAGTAGTGCTAAAGAGAGAAAACATTGGCCATGTTACCCATGTAAGCCAAGAACAACAGTATCTGACACTGCAGTCACTGTATGATTTCAATGATACAAGAAAATGTTGGTATCTGAGAAAGAGCTCTATGAAGACATTATTAATAAGTAACTTTTTAAAAAGACAAATACATTTCCTGTACATCCAGGCACGAAGCAGAGCAACAATATAAAACTTGATGCTGTTGCTATGGTATTGAGACCACATTAAGTCGAACAGAGGACGATCCAGAGCGAGGCAGGGTGTCGTTTCTTACCGTATTCTGTCTCTTGAGTTTGAGCTGGTTAACAGCCAGAGCCTCTGCAAACTCCAGCTGCTCGATCTCCTCCATCTTCTCATTGTAGCGTCTGATCTGCTCATTGATGAGCATCTCAACACACCTAAAGGGGCAGGAGGGGCCGTCAAACAGCGTGTGTACAGATTTACAGCTTATGCACGTGTTATATACAAGACATTAACAATTCACTACAGGATAAAGGAAACAAAGCACATTTTTGCTCTGTTTGCTTTTAGTCTTACGTGGTGGTCTTGGCCACATCCTTCATGCTGAGCAGCGGGTCAGCGCTGTCTGGGCAGCGCAGGACACATGGGGCAAAAACTATGGCCAGGGAGTTAGGAGACATGCGGTTGTGAGTCTCCACTTTACACACCCTGTAAGAGAATTCATTGGATATTAGCATGTAGTGTGTAAGTTGTAACTCAACTGCTAAGTAAATGGAATATATTTGTATGTTTGTAATAACGAGCCAATCCCAACCTGACGAGGTGGAAGACGAGTCTCTCCAATGTGTTGAAGTTTGCTGTAGGAAGCTCTTCCAGCACTTTGTATATAGCATGAAGCTGCTCCTGCTTCTCTGGCAGTTCTACAAGAGAAGAAAACACTAATGAAACCCCGTAAATTTACTATGAACACAAATAGCTATAAATATATATTTTAAAAATACCTCCGTTTTATTTTTAAATAAAAACTGATGAATGTTGTCTACCTTACATGAGACTTTTTTGTAAAACAAAACACATAACAGTCTAAAACCTGGCAGCAGCTAAGGAACTGTCTGTCTGTACAATGCTGCCCCCTAGTGGGGAATGTCCTCCTCACCCACTGCATGCAGGAAGTCACTGTAATGTGTGAAGGTCATGAGTGGATCTGGTAGCTCCCTCAACCACTGTTTCACCAGGCCAGTCACTGTGTGGATGGGATAGTCTTCGAGGCAGACCAGGTGGGGGTCTAAACACATCAATACAAAGATCAAAAAAAGCCAGCCATGACACAGTTTTTAAGCATGCTTGACTGCACAAATACACAGTTCATCATTTAAATGTCAAACAGAAGTGGTCTCTAACCGGTCTCTAGTCGCTGGTGCAGTTCTTTCATGCGGTTGGCAGAGCCAGACTTGCGGTAGATGCCCTCAGTGTAGAGGCCCTGCATCTCCACGTGCTCCAGCATCATCTCCAACACCATAGGTACTGGGTTCTTATCACTGACCAGGTGACACACGCGCACCCCGAAGTGCTGACCACCAGACTCCTCATCACTCTGTGGATTCAGACAGCAGCGGTCAGTAAGAAATCTGCTTATCCAGTCCACTTACCACATCTAAAAACATCTGCAGAAATCACATTGTTCACTGCAATAAAATGTACCGTGTGATGTGGAAATATAGCTCCTTATAACTAAGATGAAGAAAAGCTTTTACTTAACAGGTCAGTTGGTTGTTGGAAATTATATTATGTTGAGACTTTCATAATAAAGTTTCCCAGAGATTTATACTAAATTTAACACAATACTTCAACATATTAATGCAATATAATATAGAGAGCCAATGAACTGCTCTACGTCTCATGTTATAATTTTAACAAAGAGTGATTTTGTTGTTATCATTCCACAGCTACAGCTCCCATCAGGCATCGACAGTGCTTCTCTAGCTAGTTAATATGAGGTGCTTAAATTTTACTAGCGAGTACTGTAATAGTCATTAATCTTTCAATACAGGCAGAAAAAACACAGAAAGTGCCATGTTTCAGATCTTATGAGAAAATATGTTTGAGTCTAGAGGAACAGAGGTTTGCTTAAAGTAGGACAACTCTCTATGCAATACTGTATAAACCCTAGCCTCATTCCAAACCCTTATATATCATGAGCACTTCATTAATCCAGGCCTGTGATTTCTAAAAATAAAAACGTACCTTTTTGGCACAGAAGGTGGTGCAGTCAGTGACTATTTTGCAGAGGCACTTTTTGTGGCACACCATTTTACAATCTGTAAAACAAGGTGAAAAAGATGAAAAAGATGAATTAGTGCAGGTACTAATTTCTTTACATTACGCTACCATATTTATTTATATCAATTAAATCAATAAAACAAAAGAATATAAGAGTTTTGTTGGGGTGTCAACTCACAGCTGCACATGTAGGCCTTCTCCATGCCCCAGATGTAAGAACTACACTGGTCACATGACTGCATAATGTTGACCTGATAGTTGATGAAACTATGATCCAGGGGGCTCTCCATCTAACAAGACAGACAGTCACTCAATTAGAAATCATAATCTATATTAAATTACAAATCATTACTGAAATAAAATGATAATAAATGAAAAGAAATTAGGCGTGTACTTACACTTTTATCTTTTTTCCTCCTCTTCTTTCTAGCTTTAGCAGGCTGAAAAACACAAAGAGGGCATAAGCATGGATAGTTTTTTGTTTATTTTAAATATTTGTACTCATTGCACTGATTAATAATAAATCTCAGTGTTTTACCTTTGCAGGCTCAGCCTCCTCCTTCTTCATCTCTCCTCGGATGAAGCCATCCAGCACCGACTGGAAGAGATTGACCACAAGTTGGACTTCTCCTTTCTGCTGTTCGCCCGCCAGGTGGATCACTTTGTTCTGGTAGCCTGTCATCAGACCTTTGTAGCCAATGGTGGGTTTCTGGTTCAGAGTACAAGAGAGAAAATGAGAAAGAGGAGAGGGTAGTGAGGAAGAACTTTGATCAGCGTGTTTTATGTGTTTGCTGTGTGCTTGCAGAGAGACTCACTGGGAGAGAATACATGGCTTTGATAGTCTCTCTGAACTGCATGGTGGCTGTAACAAAGATGGCCTCTGTGGCTGACAGCGACTTTCCTCTGGAGCGGAAGTCATTAACCTGTAAGGGAACACAAAAAAATATATATTTTTCTGGTTCGATTAGATAAAACCATTTCCTACATTAAGTAAACAACTGGTCGGCATTCACTCACCTGGTTGCCCAGAAACTCGTCAAGGTGTCGCAGCTCATTGGCGTTGGTGATTTCCCGATCCAGCGAGGCGTTCCACTGCTCAGATACCCGTGTGGCACGACTGATCTTGATTGTGGGGTTGCGGCCTAAACCTTTTCCAGCACGGTCCCCGTGAGGCTGGGTAAGAGGCCGAGATGAATGTCCAGACGTTGGGGCTGAAAGGGAGGGAGAATGTTTTCATACTTGCAGGAGGAAAAGACTACTTCTCCTTTCTCAAACTGAACTCAAACCTCTAATGCAGAACGCAAATTACGCATAAGAACCACAGGGAAAACAAAATCCAGGCTAAAGTTATTCTGTTAGCACTGAGCATGATCTTGCACGGGTCACTATTTTCTCAGAAAGCAAACAGCATGTTTAGTTAAGGCCTGAGAATAATTGAGTTAATACACCTGTGTTTTCTTTGCACCTCTCTTTCCATGAGAACGTGGACTGCAGCAGACCAGCAGTTTTAGTGTAATTTGTGTTTGATGATATATATCAACCACACAATCTTTTTTTATGAAATATAATCAGTTTGTTAACTGTTTGGTAAAGTATAGTCTTTATATAAGTATAGTTTTTTATTAACCAGTGTGGGGCAATTAAATTAAAGGAATAAAGTGCCTGCTCTAGTAAACCCAATTATTCTTCTGAAAATTGACAAGAACAGACTGAACAGTCTCCTGTTTGTACTATTTACCTTCCCCTCCTGTTGGCCTTTCACTGAGAGTCTGAGCAAATGTCAGCTCTCCGTTGTCTGGAGTCTGGGCCTCCTTGTGCGGCCGTTTTTTCAAGATCTTGCTGAAGAAACCACCTGACCTGCAGGACACAGAGACACACCAAGCTTTTAATGAATGTTCACAAACCTTGTCAAGTAAAACTGTGGTGGACTGATGTTCAGACTGGATACAGGAAGAGATTTTTCCTTTGTTGATTCACAATATCATATCTTACAACTCAATCATTCAACAGCAAAGTAAGGTTTTATTAGTGTTCTTAATCATATGCCTGTCAACTCCCTGTATTGTTTCTTGGCAACAGGAAAAACAGATAATTTAAGTAAATAACATGTATAATTTCTAAAAATACCACTGAAACTGAATTACCCTGAAAAAGTGTGTTTTGCCACATATTCAAGCTCTGCTCCAGCAGTGTTACCATAGCAACAATACAAATTAAAAACAAAGCAATACGCCCGATGCCTCTGTCTGATAAAACTCTGGCCCAGTGACTGAGCCTTAAGAGTACATTTCTGCCATATAAATCCATCCAGGGAAAATTCAGTTATCAGGAATTTCCGGCTGTGAACGTGCAACACCACACAAGGAGCAGAGGATAGTTTGATTACACAAGGCAAAGAGTTTTCCCATGAACAGTCTGACTCAAGCAAACATTGTTAAGATGAAACTGAGGATGAAGTTGCTCTTCAATTTATTTGTTTCCGCAGTGTCTCATTTAAAAAGTATCTCTACTGATACTATATACACAGTCGCTTACTGGACACATTGCCCTGTGATTCACCCGTCTCAATCATCTCCTTTTCAAAAACATTTATGGCTCAAAATGCTTTTTGCAGCATCCTTTCACCAGACCACTCGTCTATAGGCCAGCCCAGTGCAGTACCTGTCCGGTGTGGTCAGGATGGCGTGTGCCGAGTCTTGGTGACCATCTTGGGGTTTCTTTCTGATGGAGCTTCCCTTAGAGCCATCACTGAAGCTTTCTGAGGGCGAAATCAACTGCAAAACAGAAAACAAGTTACAAGTGATGAAGTATGTGCGGTTTGCCAGTTTTTTTTTTTCAGCGCAAAATGTCGACTATTGGGAGTTTGAAGGTCTAAAATAAGCAATTTTCCATTACAACAGATGAACATTTAAAATACCTCTCTGCCTGAAAAAGCTCCAGCCCCTTCAGAGCCTGGAGACAAACTGTCAACTGATGAGGAGGCTGTTTCACTCCTGCAGATGAACAGACAAAAAATATAAATGAGACACAAAGATACCAGAGAAACATTATGTTGCTTCTCACATTATGTCACAAAGAACAAAAAAGATGTTTAAAGAAAGTTGATATTTTTCAGAGACAAAACATGAGGGTAGATTAAGAACAGAAGACGTACAGCGGTTTTCTCTTTCTTTCCTCCCTGTTGTGCGGTGGAGGAGAGCTGGTTCTCTCAGAGAGGTCTCCATCACTCCTCCTCCCCTTCCATTTCTCCGGTTTGTCCTTAATCCCCCCAGGACGGCGTTGCAGGTTAACTGCTCCGGCACCCTCGCCTAAACCGTTTCCCACAGGCACAGGGTCAGCGGGCTGCAGAGATAACGTAGACGGACGAACAGGACTGGCAGAAGGAGGCGACGTTTTCGCCTCCTTCTTCCCACCTTTGTCTTCCTTCATTTTCCAGGCTACAAAGGTGTACTGGTCCAGCTCCTTGCTGTCCGCCCGCTCTTTTAGCTTAGAGGTCTCTTGGCTTTTGCTCTTCGGCGGGGACGTTTCATCCTTGCTGGTGGCTGAGGACGAGGCTCGTTCAGTCTCTCTCTGGTTGTGCTCCAGCCCTCTTCGTCTCCTCTGCTCTCTCTTCTCCTGGCTCCTGGATGACGGGCCCTTGTGAATAGCTGGAGTTCGTACTCTCTTTTCTTTAGCATTGGAAGGTGTGGAGGTATCGTCGAGGGCCTGTTTATCAGACCCTTCACCTGGAGATGTGGGTCTAAGTGCGTTTGAGGTGACACCATCGGAGGGCAGAACAGGGTTTGGATCTGACTCTTCTAGTGTTTGGTTCTCCAAATCCTCATCTTCATCTTTCTCATCTAGCTGGGGTCCAGCCTCAGCCAGTGTACCGTTGGTCTCCAAATCCAATTCCCCATCCTCCTGCTCTTCATCCTTGGGCTGTTCCTCATCTGTATGTGAGCTTGTATTAACCTCTTCATCCTCCTCCTCTGTCTCCCCGACAGGAAGGTTGTCATCCAGCGTCTCCTCTGTGACCAGCTCTATATCTGGATCCTCTCTTGTTTGAGGCTCGCTCCCAGGACTTTTCTCCGCTTCCTCTCTCTTCATCTGTGCTTCTTGTGCTTTCCTGGCTGCCTCTTCTTCCTCTGCCCTCCTCTTGGCCTCCTCCTCTTCTGCTTTTCTCCTTGCTTTCTCTTCTTCCATCCTTCTCCTTTCGTCCTCCTCCTCTGCTCTTCTCCTTGCCTCATCCTCCTCTTCCCTTTTCCTTCTTTCCTCCTCTTCTGCCCTCTTCCGAGCTTCTTTTTCCTCACGCATGGAGTGGCACCTGTAATACACAAAACATAAATATGACGGCCCAAATACATAGCATATATGTATATATATATATATATATTATATATATATATATATAGAGCAATACAGCATTGCATGTCCATCTGTGGACTTGAGTGTCTTTGTGTTGTTACCTTCTGCGTGCTGAGTGTCCTCTGACCAGGGCTTGTATCTTGGTAGCACCGTGCCTTTGGCGGTCGTTCTCTGCTCTCTGTCTGTGCCCTCTCCACACAGCCTGGATCAGAGTGGCTGCCCGTCGCCTTTGCTCCTCTATGCAGTACCTGCGCCATGAACGCTAAGCAGGAGGAAAGTCAATAGGACAGGACATATCAGCATTATACTTAAATTCACTACTAAATATTAAAAAGGAAACATAACAAACAAAATCAATACACCAACATATATCGACAGCACCCAAAAATACCTATTGCTTCTTTGTTTACCTGAATCAAGATGGCTGCCTGTCTCATGTCCAGAAACTCTTTTCTCTGCAGGCGAGCTCTGAACCAGTGCTGAAGGAAGATGATCTTGCGCATTACATCCTTATGCAGCGTGTCCTGCAGCTGCTGTCGCTCCAGTTCCTTCAAGAACACCTGAACAGAGAGAACACACTCAGAATTGATATGCAAGGAAAAGGAACAGGAGCAAAGGCAGACAAGAATGGAGGTTTATAAGGTATACTGAAAAATATAACTTTTGAAGCAATGACAAGAGTCTAGAGGTGTACCTTAGTTTTGCCTATCTGGTATGTGGTGGGTTCCAGGCCCATCTTCTTTTCAAGCAGCACTGAGATGTCCTCTTTTAAGGCAGCGGTGTTCTTTGGCAGCAAAACCCTGAACTGCTCTAAGAACTCCTGCAGGGACAAGACAACATAATATGAATAAGACATGACTCGACTGTTCAACAGAGGACTTGTGTGGTAGAGATCATTATGTCCACATTGATTAAAAAATAAAGGCAAGCAGCAGCCTGTGAGTGAGTAAGGATGTTTCCTTGAATTATATTTCGACACCATCTTAATTTATGTTTTGTTTCAGGCTTTTGCAACAGCTTCAATTTAACATCAAAATATTGTATCTTCAGTGCCTGGTGTGACATTATATTGGTGTGTGATTATCACATGGATTAAGAGGAGCAGTTTACAGTACCTGGAATGTGTACTTGGCTCCATAGCCTGACCTCCTGATGCGAACAGTTTCCAGCATTCCTGTGTATCGCAGCTGCTGAACTACCAAGGCCTCATCCAGATACATCTCCTTCTGCTCACATACAAGGACGTAAGACGCATATTCAGTTATACAGTTTCACCATTTAGATATCCATATTTACTATTACAGTTTTATCTATATTATTACTCAGGGCAGCAGATTGTCATACTCCAATTATTTTTATTTTAAAATCATATGTTTTTGATTCTTGTGATTTCATACAACAGAGCAGATGGGTTTGTATACAGGTATATGAAATGTGACTGCACTGCATCAATTTACACTCAAGATTTCCTCTTATAATGACTTTAAGCTGGAAGAAAACTTCAGTACTAATTCAAGAGACCAAGGATTTTTGAACAGAAGATATTAAAGAGCAAATTACAAAGGACTAACAATAACAGAGTCTTACCTTCTCAGCATTGGAGCGGATACAACGAATGAAGAAAGGCTCTGCTCTGTTCAGTGTCTCCAAGAGTTTGGTCAGAGAGGTCTGAATGAAACGAAGAAAGGGGTTTGCTGAATGTTGAGGGTTGATGCTGGAAGGAGTGTTTGTGTTTCTGTGTGCAAACTGTTGTAGGTAACGTTACCTGGAACTGGGCACTGATGCTTGGGGGCTTCTTCTTCTTGTGCAGGTGGAGCAGAGACTTGGTAGTGCGATCGTGCAGCGTCAGGCTCACAATGAACTTCAGAGACCGAGAATCCAGCAAACTCTGCAAAGCAGTAATAAAGTCAATTAATTTCCTACTTCCACTCAATCATTACGATTCTAAGTAAATGGTGGCTAAACTAATAAAATCACAACAAACTAACACTATTCTATATGACTGAAATGTTATATTCTCTTCATCTGGCCCTAAACTCGGGGTCTTTGCTCAGGTTTACCTTGGGGATAACCTGCCTCTGTTTGGTGCTCTTGTTTTTCCTGTGAAAAGGGGAGAAAGAAGATGCATGGTGAGTTAGAAGGACTGAATCGTTTAAGGCCTGTGGCAAGAGAATGGAACAAGTAGTGGAGTTTGTGAAGCCGGGTTAGTACGGACGGTTGACTTCTTCATGCGCTGTCAGTCAGTGATGAAATCCAGGGTTACACCTGGAAGACGGGATGAATGACGGGCAGAGACAAGGCATGAATGAGTGAGAGGGTAAGGGTGACAGAATGGAGGAGGTGGAGGTGCTGTAAGAGACGGGATGTAACTCTGAACAATCAGCCCAGCAGAGACTCACCATACAGACAGACATGCTCTCTTACCATCTTCACTGCATAAAAAGGGCCCTAGATTTATATTAAGGTTCTCTCTGACAGCAGAACTTTCTGTAACCAGTAACAGTTCTAACATGCTGCAAGGCCGCTGGGAGATATTTCCACAAGATGCTCGAAAAGACCTCACATGCCAGCGAAGTCTTCTGATGATGTTCATGCAGCAGTTAACAGAGGTATTTAAGGCATTTCAGCTTCAGCCTTTGAGAAAAATAGATAGTATCTGCAAATAGAGCTAATAATATAATGTGTGTTTGATATTTTTATTGGATTAGATCACATGAGACGTTAATGATCCATTGAGAAAAGGGGGTATGAATTTAACTTTCTATGGCTGGTTACGTTAAAGTTGTTTATGAGCCGAACATGGCTGGTCTAAATGAGTTGAGGATAGGTGACATTGGTCTTTAAAAAAAAAATCTTTAATAGGAGCATGTTCTGCCTGAGTCAACTAGACTGGACTGATCTGGCGAAGAGCTGATGCCAGGTCTGCCTGCAGACTCACTGGAGAACGTGTCGAGGGAAGCGGAGGCGACCCCAGGACTGCAGCAGCTTGCGAGGGTCCTCACCATCCAACTGCAAGTTCTTAATGGAGCTGATGATCTCTGCATGCATGTCTCTAATCACACCACACACAAACCCAGTGTGCAGAGGGAAAGACAGGGGGAGTAGTGGGCGCAGGAGAGGGGAGGGGGAAAACCGACAAAAGGAGGAAGGGGGAAAAAAAAAAAACGTAAAGAGGGCATGAAGAGGGCATGATAGAACACCCCTGTTAGGACACCTTTGAAGAAAACACACCCCTGCAGTTACTCAAGACAAGAACACACACTGCAGGATGGCTGGAGGTCTGACATCAAGGGGAACTTCATGCTCTGCTCATCCATGAAGAATAACCCACAAAATGTATTCTTGCACTGTTCATGTTTATGTACATGAAAACCACAAGACACACTAGACCACCCAACCATGCTGCCATATCTCTTTTAAGAACAAAACACACACACACACACACACACAAAAAGAGAGATGGGGGCACACAGGGGTTTGTATTCACACCCATATCCCTGCCACCGTGGTAGTTAACATGCAGAGCTGAGCTGACGTTCAGCGTGGCTGGCTGTCTGTTTCCATGCTGGGCTTGTTACTGGCTGTTTGGCTGTAAGTTGTTACTGGTGAGGCTGTTTGGATTCATGGTACTTTCATTGGGACTGGTGTTACACTGGACACTCGATCTGGTGTGGTTAATGTGGGAACTTTTCCGTGTCCCAGAGCTAGTCCATGCAATACTTTTCTATACTTACCATGGCTGACCATGAAAACAGAGGGCAGGCATAGAAGGAATGGGCAATATATGCAGTGAAATGAGTCAGAGTGAATCTGACCTCTACACCTCAGTGTTTACAGATATTCTAGGGGCTGGAAGATTTAATAATGGTAATTATGCTTAGGGGGGTTCAAATCAGTTCAGTTACTGGTCTGAAAAACCCCCAGTAATTTTAGATCTGAAAGCAGGAGGTATAAGGTCAAGATTCAGAGGGCCTGACAATCCAAAAATATTCTTCATGGTTTAGTTTCATTCTGAGAAAGCTCCCCCAATTCTCTGTCTATTTGACTTTGCCTCTGTATGTGTATGAATACATGCGTACTTCCAACAGCTCCACAGTTGATGTAAGTAATCTGGGTGGCTAATCAGAGTAGGCCAGTACAAACACCTTCCTGTACTCTATAGCAAGAACAATAAACATGAGGAGGGAGAGAGATTATCACAACTATAGCAAAGATGGGGATTACAGTGAGGGAAGAGAGGGAAAGCAAGGTAAAGGGTAACTTTGTTGTACAGCTATATATCAGTATACTGGACTTCCTTGGCTACTTTTTGGATTCAACTATATTAAATATCTAAAAGCGATTGAGATATATATATATATATATTTTTTTTTTAAATGGGAGCAGACTCAGAAAATGAAGCAAACCGGTATCTATTACCCAAAAAAACACACATCCTTCCTGCTTGGCCTCATGTCTTCATTCCTTTCTCCTGTCCACCAAATGCACTTACTTCTTACTCTCATAGCTAGCAAAGATGTCTTCAAAGGCCTCTAGAGGGCGCTCCTCTGAGTGATCAAAGTAGAAATCGAGCATAGACGCTCGTCTGTGGAGGGGAGAGGAGAGAACCGCACACACTGGGGTCACCAAAGGGCGGAAAGGATATGGGTGACTGAGATAAGATGAAGGAGGATTCATCTGTCAGGGTGACGTAAAAAAAAGGCTGTGTTTTTGTCAGTGTTTATGGATTCAGTTCAGATATGTTATAGTAACTCAGGTGTCTGACATTGTCCTTCCTCATCTCATCCAGCCCCACAGGGTAAATGTGGAGGTCCACAGTTCACCAACCATTTTAAACATTTCCTTCACCTTTAACAAGGAGCTTTACACAGGAAATATGTTGCTACGTAGTTTATAAGTGGAAGAATTGCAGCTTCATGGGGGCTGTATATTACATACGTAGATCCTATTTAAAATAATCAGTCTGTTATTGACAACAAAGTAAACGGCACCAACAGTCTGCCTCCATGTCCACAGGTGCTACAGCAGACAGATTCCTCCAGAGGAAACAGACCTGAAAGTTAGGAAACCAGTCCAACACACACAAAGACCAAGTGAGACATATCATAGTTTTATATTCAATCATGTACATTACTTACTTGTACATTCTGTCTATTGGGGCATTGGATCGCTTCAGCTCTCCTAAGGGGGTCCTAGAGATTGGACGGACTACACCTAAAACAAAAAAATACATAAACACCCAATTAATATGCATTATTAGTAAGTGAAATCTATCATAAGTAGGCTTTCAAGTAGAATAAAGGCTGATCAGAGACATATGACTGCAGCAGTTTTTATTGTTTTTCGTTTTTGTTTTAACTTTATTTAATCTTGGTAATCCACATAAAAAGGCTCCTACGTCAATGGGCTACATATGAGAGCACAAAAATAGTCTGGAGGATTGAGAATTGCACGGAAAATGACAAAACCTCCTAAAGCCCACGTTTCTCCATATTCCTTTATGTGCTGACCTTAAAGGCTAATTACAAAGCAGAGAAACTGCAGTACTCCGAAGTTGTGGTATGAGCTGCACAAGTGTAGTGAAGGCAGTTCGTATATGACACTTTCAGATGAAGACTAGACAGAAGAAAATGAGTCTTTATTTAGCCTTAAAGCTGCAGTAGGTCATGTTTATAAAAATATGTTTTGTCATATTTGCTGAAACTTATATCCTGACATTAGTACATGAGACAGATAATCTGTGAAAAATCAGGTCCCTCTTGCTCCTCTTAGTGCTCCTAAGGGCATTTGCAAAAATCCACCGGCCCTGAATGAAAACAACCAATCACAGGCAAGTACGATGGGTGATTGTTAAGTCTCATTCAGCGTCAAATACAGAAGCATTGTGAAACTGGAAATGAGACTCAACAAAGAACTATCTTTAAAATTCCAACACAAAGAGTCTTTATATCTTTCTCGGCTCTGATTGGTTGTTTTCGTTCAGGCCCGTGAATTCTTACAAATACCATTGCGAGCCAGAGGAACCTGATTTTTTCACAGATTATCTGTCTCATGTACAACTGTCAGGATATAGTGAAAAGTTTTGCAATAATGCTAACAATATAAAAAGTTACCTACTGCAGATTTAACACAATTAAGATAGCGTCAGCAAGGTATCAACTAGATAAAAGCATGCCAAGAAAGATTCTGAACCATCATTCTTTAAAGATTATTTCACCCAAGATGGGCTGACACCGTTACACTAATAATGTACCTGAAGTTTTAGCAGCCCAGGACCGGCCAGCTTCGTTAAAAGCAGCAATGCCTCTGATGGTGGCGCGCAGGATGCCCCATCGAAACATTGCCACTGGGTCCATGCCAATGAGCTGCCGCACATATGCACGGTCACTACTCCGCAACAACGCCACGATGTCTGGACGCATGTGGTCCGTGTTCTTCTCCCGGAAATCCTGGAGAGGATGAATATATCAAAAACATTACAAAGTGGACCATTAGCTCATATTTAAGTATAATTCAAACTGTTTTGCTTATGTTACCTGATGTATTCTCTGTCAATCATCCTTACCTTGATTTGATATTTGACTTTCCCAGCAAAGTGTCGAATGACAAAGGCAGGTTCCATGACCGGTGTGGGGACAAAGTATTTGTTCCCCTGGTGTTGCTGCTTGAATTTAGCTAATAATGTCTCATCTGTGGCGTGGGGAAAGCTGGAATACAAGCACAGAGAGAAGAAAAGAGGCAAGAAGGATGAAAAGAAATAGGAAAAAAAAAAATATGTGACAGATTAATGGGCAGTTTGAACTGAATCAAAACAAAACTTAATTCATACTTAGAGCCATAAAATATGAATGAAACCGTGTGAATCATCTGTAGCTGTTCTTACTTGCTCTCCTCATCCAACAGGTAGAGCAGGCCAGTGGGTTTCTTGCTGATGAGGTGGATACAGCCCACATTGTCTGTGTAGTCGATGTTGTGCCAGGTGATTCCCTCTGCTTGGTACTCCTCCTGTAGGCAAGAACAAAACAATTTCTTTGTTGTATATGCTAAAAAGTTGCAGCAGGATACTGTTTTTCAAGTCAAGTTTGACTAAATACCTGAATGTTTAACAATAAATCTAACTTTGTGGGATAAGATAAACCCTTCCAAGATAAGTCACCATTTAAGTAGTCGTTGATATAAACAGAGCAGAGGAGAGAGTCCTAAGTTTGAATCACTAGGGAGCAAATCTTCTTCGGTGTGTTGGTTCAGTGTGTCAAGATTTTGGGAGGAGGCAAATGAAAGAAGACCACTTACCTGCTCCAGATTGAAGATGTGGTGGTTGAAATAATACTGCAGCTGCTCATTTGCATAGTTGATGCAGAACTGCTCGAAGCTGTTGGTCTCAAAGTCCTCAAAGCCAAAAATGTCCAGGACACCAATGGACAAGCACTGGAAGACATGAGATTGAACACCAACCGAACACTAATGAGGAGCAGGAAGGCGAATGTGTAACAATTATCACCCCAAAAATAACAGTACTTATAACATTTAATGTAGGGTGATCTTCTTGTGTACTTATTTTGTGTTGTTGTGTGTGTGTGTGTGTGTGTGTGTAAGTGTTTGTCTCTCACTGGGACAGATTCCTCCATATCTTTCTTGTTAAGCAGTGCATGATTGATGCGCAGGACGATCCAGTCAAACAAGGCGCTGTACAAAGATTTGGCCATGGAGTCTCTGGCTGTGATAGCCTGAGGAGTGAAAGAGGGGATGATGCATAAAACTTCAATAGACGTAACAGAAGGAGAAAAAAAAAGTGTCCTTTTTATAGAGTTCTTTGGAATCGGATTATATAACAACAAAAGTGAGACAAAGACAAACGTAAATGGCAGCTTAAACTGATTAAAAAATGGAACAAGGAGGGTGTGGAGTATATAAAAAGTTGAACATTACACATTGACAGGAAGAAGAGATCTATTGTAGGTGTGGTATTAATAAAGAAGCAGAAAGGCAAAAAGAAGAAGCAGACACACAAGGCCACCAATTAGTGTGCAGTTGAACACTACTATAGTAATGATAGGGTTCAGAGATGTCTTCATGGCTGGTGCCTACCTCAGAGTGGCTGTAGGGAAGGATCAGCTTGTCGTTGACTGTCACCGTTTTCCTCTTCGTCAGCGCCTCGACCAGCAGCTCCTCTTTAACCTGAGAGGGAACAGACGCAGGTTAGAGCCAACCGTCACAGACGACTCGCCAGACATAGTGAAGAATGAAGTACCACAGAAAACAAACACCTATGTTACCTTTAGCAGGTCAGAGAGTGTAGCCAGGACCTCTGGTGGTCCAACATCTAACCCCTCGTCTCGGCCTGTCGACTTCCTCCTGTAGGTCACGTTGCCGAGATACAAGATGGCCGAAAGCACAGAAAAGATCCTGCAACACGGTCAGAATAATAAAGTTAAAAGCAACAGCAACAATACAGTCTTATGACAAATGTAGGAACAATGCTACACACACTGTTCCTCTGTCTTATCATCTGTTTATGATTGATAACTAGTAAACTGAATAGAAACATTGTGTGGAGCTGCATCTACATTGTCTCTAATAAACTGCTACATTATCCCATTAGATGCAGCTAGTGTTGTTCTGTTGGTGCTCTAAAAATAGTCTCTTTGTTGTAATTTATATAATTTATATTTTCGGTAATGTGATTCAATGTTGGGAATAACATAACCTCTATTTCCAGGACTGAGTGGAAAGATGCTTCAGGGTGGTTTTTCAACACAACATCAACAACTCAACATGTCTGGAAGAACATTATTTCCTGCATTATACACACTACACTGAGCATGTTCACTGATTCACTTACTGTTTCTTGGTGGCGGGAAGGAAGCCAACCATCTCCATTGCCTGCTGCAGCCTTTCGAAGTCATGGCGCAGATCTTCCTCATCTTCTATCTTAAAGTTTTGCTAAACACAGGGAAAGACAGGCAGTTAGTAGGGATGTATAAAAGATTAGAAAAAGAGAGCAGAAGTACAAAAAGGACACACAAGCAGGTGAAGAACGGCAGTCGATGAAAAGGAGGGTGAGGAAAGAGGGGAATAAAAAGTGCGAGAGAGAACAAAGACTGCTTCATTAATATGCAGAACACATGTGCGTTGTAAGCTGGGAGTGTATACAGCAGCTTATTCAGAAGCTTGGCAGGCTTCATGAATGCAGGGTCCACTCACAGTGAGTTACAGTGTTACCTTAAAGGTCACAAAAATGGGTTATATTTCATTACCACAATTGGAAGGTTATTAAGTGTGTTGAGCAGGCTGAACAGGGTAGAATACCAGTGAGGGAAGTGAGGAGTCAAGATTTTGGCTGTCTATATCAAATTATATAAACTGCAGGATGTAAGGGGCGGTGCAATGCGTTACCTGCTTGAGGTAGAAGTATTCTTCAGGCGGCAGCAACTTGAACTCCTTTCTCTCCTCCTCTGAAGCTCCCAACAACAGGTAGTAAAACACATGGTAGTTCCTGGAAAGACAACACATGTTAAAGCCTGTACTACACCGAGGTATTACTGTTCTTTAAAGGGTTCAATTAATTATTTTGTGCATCCATTATTTGTTTGTTTTATTATCTGGTGATCACTGGCTATGAGCTTCATGTTTATGGGCACAAATAAGGGGTAGTTTTGGTGATACATCAAAAGTCAACACATTGTAAAAAGCTAATAGAAAGAAGACAATGTCTGGAGCTCAATGATGTTGAGTTTTCCACTCGCTATCAGGGAGCAGGTAGGTAAACAGGCGGCAAAGCTTTGTTGTAAAAGCACACGGGAGTAATGAGTTTCCACACTTATCACTAAAAAACAATGACATCATACAGTAGAGTCACTCCCTGATGAGACAGGCAAGATGCACAGTCAACGGCAACTGTAGGCTAGGTGATTAACAATACACTGTGCATGCTGATAATAGCCTGAAGGTTAAGGCAGCAGGCTTTCTTAATGGAAGGTGACTAAAACTAGCTGGGAAAGTCTGGACAGGAAAGGTGCAAAAGTAACTCTAATAAAAAGTAAATCTTCCCACTCAAAACTAGAATTTGTTTTTCTCATAAACAAGGCATGAACTACGTCAGCTGAGCTGCTCAGTGGCAGACTGTGGTTTCACAGACAATCTTCACAAGTGCTTGTGCATATCTTTATCTGTGTGAATCTAAAAATGAAAACAGTAAAACTTGACTTGTGTAGTTAGAAAAAGCCTTCCTGTGTCAATCAGTTGAAACAGTTAAATCAATACCATCTACCAACTATCTATCAGTCAATACGAAATCATTCATATTAAAGTCAGTTGGGTTTTTTTTTGTTCAAAATGTATCTGTCTCTTCTTTTGACTCATTCATCTGTAAGACATATGACTTAAACTGAAATGAGAGTAGAGGATTTGGTCCCTTCCCAACACCTGACTGTATTTCTCAATGACCTAATATTTGTTTTCATATTAGTCACACAAGTAGCGACAGACCATTAGTCTAGTCGGTAGTAAATGTCATAGTGAGTAACAAAGGCTTACATGGTGTAAAGGAAGAGTGAAGGACAACGTGGTAAGTAAGGCAGTCTCTCTCAGAACTGACAGAAAAATTATTATTTATTTCAGTTAATAACAGTTCATTCTTCACTCACACAAACAGGAGTCACTGGAGGTTGCATTAAAGTCCTACCAAGTGTCCACACTCTATAGTACGTGTCCACTTGACGTCAGTGACAGCTCATGCTAGAATTAACATGGGTAGATAATCAAGCATTTAGGTGGCTAATATCTCAATCTACAGTGTCTGAATATGTGAGCACATGTATGCGTGTGTGTAAGCCTTTAGGCAGAAGGACATGTAAAGTCCAAAACTACAGACTGAAGTCTTCAGTTGAACTTAATATCCAAACATCAGTGGCTCCCGATGTTTGCACAGAGGGGCCCATGAAGGTCAGTGGGGGTGAAGGGTCAAGACCCCTCCTTTCCCTTCTCACCTCTCATTCTTCTCCCTGGAGACCAGACGAGACTTCTCCAGGAGATACTTCTCCACCACAGCCCTAAAAGACAGAGAGAAACAGAGGGGGAGGGGGAGAAGGCAAGAAAAAAGGGGAAGAAGAAAAACAATGAGGATGAATCACTTAACACTAAAGGTCACTCAACTCTGTCCTTATGAGTGTGTGTGTGTGTGTGTTTGTTTTTAGGTCATATGTGAAAGTGGGCTGGAAATAAAAAATGAGGGGAGGAGCAGTAGGGGAAGTGAGGGCAGATGGTTGGAACAATCAAAGAGTGAACAAAGCGTTCAGATGGATTGTAGCACATCAAACACACAACATAGCAACACAAAACAACGACGAACAGATAACTCTGGCATTTGTTCATTTTTGGTATTTTATAATATAGACATACAGAAGAGACTAGAAGGCTACTGCAGGGGTAGAGGTATGCTTTCAGACCACTGCAGTCATGAGATATACAATTGTAAAAGCAGTGGTATTTACCCACTACAGCAGGCCAAGGCCATAAAGTTGTCTAAATCAGATTTTATAAGTCAGAGTTGTTTTTTCTATAGCCAGGCAAAAACAACACTGACGCCAGTCCTCATGGCACACTAAGAATAGAGTTGTGCTGTGAGAAACACAGTTGTGTCCATCTGCTTAAACTGAAACCACAACTGTAGACAGACTGAGATCAAGCTCATACACCTACTTTAAACATCCGCTAGATTAAGTTCTCTTTTCCCTTTCCCTTTTTCTCAGAATACTCACTGCAACTACGCAAAACAAATCACTTTCTTAACATAAAATTATATGTTGGGGTGTGATTTGTTGTAGGTGTCTTACTGATTAAACCGTAATTTACAAGTAAGATCAAGTTATACATACATACTGTATGTATGAGATGTTTTTGATAGGACAGATCCTTGTGACATGCCCAGAGTATCTGACAGTAATTTAGATTAGACTGTCCTTTGAACCAGTTCCAATCAGTCACAGGCACGCACACAGACATTAACTGTGTCAAAAGCTTTGGAGAGATCTATGAATATATACAGAAATACAAGCCATGTGGGCTTTTACTTCTAATGCTACTTCTTGAAAAGCTTAAGCAGAAGTCCCCCAAAATAGGCATCCAAAGTGCTTGTAAATGTCTCCAGTATTTCAAATGTTTTTGCACATGTGGAGGTAATTTGTTTCACACCTGAACCCATTCCAGGATCAGTTCCAGTAAATGGCACAGTTCAGCAATGTCTCTTGTATTTAAATGTTGTATTTATAAACGCATTTTCATACATTCTGAGCATTAAGACCAGATGATGAGTGAATCTAAAAAGGACCACCACAGGAGATAATATGTGAATGTGATAGCTCACTAAAAGTTATAATGAGTTCTTGTCCATATGAGGTGCTCTAATGGAGAACAGTACATTGACAGGAACTTCTTTTCAGAAAAGTACAGAGGAGCCAACAGACAAGCTGGCTGCACAGTAAATTTGTCAGCATGTGCCAGAGGGGTAAGAGAAGTCTCACAACACATTCATCCAGAAACATCCATACAGTCAGTGCATGTTTGTGCTGAGACATCTTTCACTGACACACCACCTCCTTTTTACACCTCCTCTAAAGTGTGTGTTCCTTGTCATCGTTCTGCCGCATCTTGCTCAGATGCCAGTGAGGATGGATTAGCCGGACAGAGACCCACAGAGAGAGAGAGAGCGTAAAAATATCCCGTCTGTCAGTCTGCTCAGAAAGCAGAGCGGAACAGCAGCCTTCCCTTTGTTAATCTCCTCTATTGACTGTCTGAATGGCTGCCACTGGAGATGAAGAGATAGACAGGCAGCCTTTGTTAGGTCTGCAGAGCAGAGCTGTGGTGAGTCCAACACTTTACTGATGTAAAGCAGAAGGCTACACTAGTAAAACCTAGTAAGCTAAGCAAAATGTTTTGGTTTGACTACATTTATGGTTTTCAGCATTTCCTTGTTTTAAGTGGGTTCACTCAGCCTACTAAAATTAACTCTCCTGACTGGATTACAGACCCTTCTCAGGGTAAGCAATTCAATAGAGAATGATGAGACCTGGTGCCATTAGGGAGATAATCAAGATGGGGATGCCCACTTACTGTTGAGCTGAGCAGCTGTCGCTACAGGCATTTACATATTTCAAATCTAATGTTATTTCTAGTAGAAAACCTTTCCATACACGCCACCATTAGAAATGTGTTCTCAGCCTTTAGTCTGAACATTGCACCGAATATTCTGCGCAACCTTCAGCTTTTAATGTCTCAACAATTATAGAATAATAAGTTGTCTTTTTTAAAGACACGGTATTGAGCAGCTGTTTCCCTCTCCTGATAAAGAAATGAGGAAGTGACATGGCTGATCAGACTTTGATGCAGCTCCTAACCAGTCTGACTGCTGAGAAAAAGGAAGGACATGCTAGTGGTTGAAAGTTTTAGTCTGTGTGCACACTGCACAGAGGGGATCCACATGATCAGTCATAAAAAGAGCAAAGAGGAAGATATTAGGCCATAGTTAGGCCATAGAGAGGTAGAGGACCCGGACGACGAGCTACAGAAAGAGGATACAAAACACAAAAAAATAATCATTCAAATGTCCCTAAATGGTGCTGTACTGCAGAATAGTGCATTGCGGCTCAACCTGACTTTGTGTGAGGCCTTGTTGAGAGTGGTTGGTCGTAAAGACACACATACAATAATACACATACATGCATCAACTGTTAATTACTCACCCTCTGACCACTCCACTCTCCAGGTAATTAACCTGGATGAATTTACCAAAGCGGCTGGAGTTGTTGTTGTGGGCTGTCTTGGCGTTCCCGAAGGCCTGAGGCAGAGACAAAAAGAGAGGACAGAAACACAGGGTAAGTGTATGGGTATAAAGTCAAAAACATACAGTTTGTAACCATGTTTTTATTTAACCAGGAGAAAAAGACTTAATGAGATTAAAAAACTCTTTTTCAAGGGTTTCCTGGACAAGACAGGCAGCAGCATAAATAACACAGTTGCAGAAACAAAAGACAAACATAAAATAATTTAACATAAAATCAAAATAATCAATAAATCAATGAGGTAAATGGTTTATATGTGACAACACTGAAACACTGAGGGAGACTAAATTAAATCTTGAGTGTTTTTTGAGACTTGTTTTGTGAGACCATATCAGGCTTGATTTAAGGCCAATTGTCTTTTACAAACTAGTTTTTATTTTTTATTTTTATCCCTTCCTGCTCATTATTGATGTTTTGAAACTCAACTCTGGACCTCTGTTGAGTTCCAAACCTTACATAGAGGTGCTATTGGGTGCAACACAATCTGGGAGTGTACCTTCAGGCAGCTCTTTCTATCAGCACCCTCACTGAAGTCAACACAGCAACAGTAATAACAAATCACCATGACAACAAAGAAGTAACAGTCGAGGGTTAAATCTTGTTTTTAAACAGGAACTGAGATCACAGGGTGTGGGACTAGGCCGTGTATGTGCGTGCGCTTGTGTGTTTGTATATGGCGAGGTCTGTCTTAGAAGGGGGGCGAACATCTGCAGCTCGTTTCCTCTTGCCCTGTTCTCACTCTCTCCCCATCCATCTCTTTCTTCCTCCTTCAACAACTTTCCTCACTTACTTGTTCACGTCTGTATACGTGTGTGTGTAAGAGAGAGAGAGAGAGAGAGAGAGAGAGAGAGAGAGAGAGAGAGAGAGAAGAGAAGGAAGAGGAGAGAGAGAAGAAGGAAAAGGCACAGGTCAGTGATGATAAATGAGGTTGGACAGCCGTTCTGTATAGCAGTCACAGCAGAAACAGAAACAGGCTGATGCTAACCCAGCCTGGGGCACACAGAGCACCGCACTAGCCTCGCTGAGGGGCCCGTTTGTTGCATTGATATGGTAACAGAATAGGCTCTTTTTTTTTTCCTTCGTGATGCACATGCTCACATGGTTACAGATAGACGCGCACACATGCACACGCTCACAAAAGGCCACCGCAGGGGAAGTTGATCAGTGCATGTTAAATAGGAGCCACATATATCTTCAATCAGTTACGGGTTGAATTTGATACAGTGGTGTTGGTGCTGATTAGAGTAAGGGGGCACACACGCACCACCACAACACACACAACACACACACACACACACGGTCTGATTGACATTCCTTAGGATGAACCATTGACCTATTTTTATTTCTGCTGCCCAAGCAGCTCTTTTTCTGTCTTGCTAAATTGTTTGTTCTCCTTTATACCGAAACAACTTGTGCACTAAAACCATCAAACCCTTTTGAGATCTCAGTAGATCTGCATGATATGGTAAAATATTGCAGTTATTTTGACAGACATTGTGATTGTGTTATGATTGAAGATTAGTGGGAATTATTATTTTTGCATCAATGTCTATTCTCACTGAGAAAACTATTAAAATCCTGATGTTGATGACGAAAGGTGTTTACCACACAGGTTTCATTCTTCATTCAATTGTCTGTTTATAATGCCAAAATCGTTGTGTAAAACTGTACATTTATTTATTCAGGTGTTGCCTGTATTAACAGAATAAAACGACATCACTTCTGTTCCCGGTTTTCAGGGTCAGTAAGTGTGTTTTGGCGCTGATACTCCAAAGTGTCACACCGCTCAATGCTGCCCGCTGTGCCTAGTGCTGTTCTGATCACCCCCACTCCACAAACCTTGCAGCCAAGAGCACAAAACCCTGGGAAAATCTCTGCAAAGCCCAGGCCGCTGCACCATGGAGGGAATGCTAAACATGTCACTGCATCTTTCGTATTCTAACTTGCCCATGAGCAGACGATCTGATTGGCTGGAAGGCTCAGCAGGTATGGGGAAGTGGACCAACAGCTTGTCAAACCGTGTCCGAGGAAAGACGTGGTCTGATCTGCATTCTTACGAAATAAGGGTTGCTCTCAAGGAGGTTACGGAAAAAAAACAAGGAAGAGGAGAGTGAGAAATAGAGACAGAAAGAAGGAAAGAGAGAGAGAGAGAGAGAGAGAAAGAAGCGGGGGGCTCATCTGCAGTGTGTACATGTCTGCATGTTGTGGGTGTGCATATCCAGTGATCATTTCATGACGTGCAACAGTGTCTTAACTGATTCCTCT